CCCTGCCGGCCCCGCCGCGCCCGCCCTCAGCGGGCCCGCACGGAAACGAGGGCCTGGATTCTGGGACTCCAGGAAAAACTGTGTTCCGAGGGCGAGAAGTTGGCGAATCGGTACTGACATAAGCATAGACAGAGTAACAAGGAAAAGAAAGGGAGTTAGACGTAGATTTTTAAGTCTACAGCTGATTTCTGTAAAACTTGGGTAATACTTTCTGTGCTGTTTTCATATTTGTAAAATCCAAAATCTAAGCAAAATTTTAAGTTCTGCCTAAAACCAATGGTTCTGAACACCATATAGGTACCTATTTCTCCTTCTGTTCCCTCTCCTGGAGTTACCAGTTCATTGTGAAAGGATCTAAATCCTAGACCCTCTGCCTTCCAAATTGTTTGTAGGATTGTTTGCTGTAGGATGCTGTCCCAGCTCTGAGTGTGAAATGCACCTAAACAAGTCTTTACCACTGCAATTCCTACCTCTCTATTTAAAATAACTACCTGAGTATCTCGTGAAAAATCCATGTGTTGAATTGCATGTAGCTCCAAAGCAGTTTTTGCTTTCTGGTTTCTGGAGCAACAAAAGAAGGGCAGTCAGCTTGGTGCTGTATTAAGAAATATCAGTAGAAGAAAGAAAAATTGCTGTAGCACAGGGAAGTCACCTTATCAGCACAAAGGCCGTCTCCTATCTTCCTGAAAAGCAGACCTCAGCCACATTTACGGCAGGAGAGCTGGGCTGGAGCGCAGGACTGGACAGGATGTTAATGACTCTCACACTGCCGGCAGAGCGAGGGCTCTGTGCCTGTGACAGAGGATGGCAACCCGGGTGGTAAGACGAAACGGTAAAGACACACACACACAATCCCATTTTACGAGGGAAGCTATGAAGACAATTTTACAGCTAGAAGCAAAATCAAATAGTAAACAAGTTTGCTTAGGTCCAGGGCTGTTCTTTTTCAGTTTGATCACTTTGAGTTTCCTGCCTATGCAATCTTTTTTCCCCATGGAAAAATATTTATTTAACTTTTCCTGGCAGGACAGCTTTTTCCTGGCAGAGCACTGCACTGTGAAATCTTTGGTGGCTTCTACTGTTTAAACAACTTTGGATTACAGACTGTCACCAACATGTCCAACAGACAGATAGGATGTGAATGCACAGTGATAATACAAGTATTTACCATTAGATTTTCACCCCAGTCAGTCTTCTTCTCACATCAGAACACTAATCTCCTCTACAAGCTATTATGCTGTAGATTTGAAGTGCTTGTTCCTGACTAGAAGGCAATATAAAGTGAAGGTTGCTGGTGACAGAATCAAGCTTAATTATAAATAACCAATACGTACTTCTACTCCATTAATAGTTACAGACAGAATTTGGTATTCAGCTGAATCCAAGGTATCCAAGTGGCTCATTCATTTTTGACACAGATTACTACAGAAGAATTGTTTCTCCAAACATCTCAACTTTCTACCTTAAACTCATAGCAAAACTCTGATCTGCAAGTAATTACATACTTGTACAAGTTCCCTAGTAGAAGTAAAAGAACTGGACATACAGTTATATGAAAGAACAGGCAGGCAAATGCACTTGTAGGATCAGGTTCAGAGATACATGATCATGTTGGGTGGAAGACACTTCTGGAGGTCATCTAGAGCAAAGCCCTGCTCAAAACAGAACAAATTAATACCAGGCTCAAGGCCACATCCAGTTTAGTTTTTAGTGTCTTCAAGGATGGAGATTCCATAACATTCCTGAGTTCCTGTTCCAATTTCTGACCACATGTATGGTGACCTTTTCCCACTATTTACTCTTAATTTTCTAGAGAACATTTCTCTCTTGCCTCTTTCCTATCCCTATGCCCTGAGTTGGGTCTGGCTCCACCCATTAGAGTTCAAGATAGCAGAAAGGTCTCCCTTAGATTAAAGCTAAACAAAATCTGTTCTGTCTCTTCCTACCCCTTGTGCTCCAGCCCTCTGATCTTTGTGGCATCTCCTGGACTCACTCCAGTGTGTCAATGTCTTTCTTCCACTGAGGTGTCTAGAACAGGGCACAGAACACCAGTCAGTCTCATAATTACTGAAGATAAGGAAAGAGTGACTTCCCCAACCTGCTGCCTTCATTTTACAAGTGCAGCCCTGGATACAGCTTGGCCTTCTCTGCCACAGCAGCACACTTCTGCATTTTGGTCAGCTTGCTTTGGAAGAGGATGCTTATCCCCTTATCTGAAAAATATTTTTTCAGCTAGCACTACTGCATAGGGTTATTGCAGCCCAGGTGTAAAACCCAGTGACACTTGACACTTGCCCTTTTTAAACTTAATTCAGCTCATTTGCAACAATGCCCTCCAGCACATTATAACCTACCTGGTAATAGACACAGCTCTTGATGGAAGCGGTTACTCTGAAAAATTTGGGCTCCTTACCTTTGTAGAAGTAATAAAGCTGACAAAACATATTGTTTGATTCCCTTTACTCTGAACATGTGACACGCTCCAATGAGCAGCATTCTGCTTATCTTATGAACACAGAACTGATGTCTCCATTGTCTCCTCTGGGCCTGAGCTCCTCCTGCCATCAGCCAGCATTCACCAGGCCATGTCTGACTGGTTTGGTCACTGCAAAGGAGGGTCACCAAGAAGTACCTGACCACAGCACAAACCTTGGACACATCTGAACAAAGAATCCCACAACACACGGGGACAGTGCAGGACACAGACTGACACTGAACCAAGACAACAGGAAATGCTACAATTCAGTTCAACAGTGCTGGCAAAGTCCATATCAGGAATGTTTAACTATTTTATATTATAATAAGAAATCCTGGGACAATCCATCTTAATGGAAACGCTTTCCAGCTTTGTGCAATTACAGATCAATGTCTCCATCTGACACTGAATGGAAACAACTTTTCTTGAAGTAACAGTTTCACAACACATAAGAATTCTTGTTTCTTTGTTTCTTAAAACCAGTGCCAATCTAGTAAGAGCAGTGTAATTTACTGTCAAGAATCATTTACTGTGATCACTCCTGAGAGTTTAAAAGTTTTGTCACACAATAATTCAAACAGATAAATCTTATGGCACATTTCAAAAGCTGACATCAAAGCAATTTTATGTGAGTGGTTACAAATAATAGGCCTGACACAAATATGACAGTTTCAGTATTTAATATTTAATATCCAATTTAAACATAAGTATTCAAAAGGAAATATTTTTACACTATTTCAGTAGTCACTTAGCTCGATAGCTGGTTGCAATAATCCATAAAGATTTCAGGAACTGGATGGAGCTGTAAGCACAAAAACTCCCATTATAAGTTAATGCATGACACAGTTCCATTGCAACCCTCTGAAAAGCAAGAGTTACATTAAAAGAAATTCAGACACTGAAGTACACTGAAATGTATTGTGTCTTACAGCAGAGTTTCTTACTCTACTGGTCAGAAACACGATGGTAACTTCAAAAGGCACTCTGAATTAAACTACAGTAACTCCGGTCTACAAGCATTTTAGAAGTGGAGTAGAAAAAACCGAAACCCTATACTCATATAAATTTCTTTTACTTCTGTCCTAGCCCCAGAGCAGTCAAATTATATTGCACTTTTAAAATATTCTGTGTAGGCTGTGATAAAAATCTAATATTTACACATTGTGTTTGTTAAAGAACAATGCATTACTGTGTAAAACATTTTAAGAACCGAGTTTTAACACTTATTCTTGTATTAATTAATATAACCAGAAGCTACATCAAATATTTTTTTTCCTTAGATCCTATTCTAGAAACATTTTTGGTCCTTCCTTCAAAAATTTGTTATGCTGTAACTCATGTTCATAAC